TGATGATGATGATGATGATGATGATGATATTTTGTTCAGACTGTACAAGAGTTTGAACTGCGTCACTTCACAGTTTACGATAACTCACACTCTGATGCACGTGTGCCACTTCTCGAAGCAGTCCTCCACACATAGCACAACGTCACACTTTTTACAGTAGTAGAGCGTGCTTCTGCGCTTCTTATTCTGAGAACAAATACGTCGTCTTTGTTTTCCTTTGGTTGGCCAGTGTTGTGAATGTTTCACTTCCAGTCGACTCAGTTGGGCCCCAGATGAACTTGGCCTCCCCCGAGAAATGCCACTGACTGTGATATTCGCCTCATGCGACTGAAGAATCAAATCCCACACCAATATTTCGCGGAACTTTTTGTGTGTCATTTTTCCACCACATGACTTGTGTAATAGATATGCATTTAGAACAGTCATATGTAGAAGGTGGAAAAACAATTTCTTTGTCCACTTCCATGTCCTCCTAGCAATGCCATAACTGTTTACCATCCTGTCAGATTTATCAACAAAGCCCATGTGTGTACTGTAGTCTTCAATTACATGCGGTTTGACAGCATGGCCAGATTCATCTCTGAAGTTGCCATCCAATGGAGGAGGGTGCATATTCGTCAGAACATCACATCATGCTTGTCTTTCCAACAAACAACACTTAGATGCCCCTTGACTCTTGTAACAAATTCCCTTTTTTCAATTTCATTGACTTGGGCCGAATTTCTTGTGGCATTCCACGCCTATCATTGCGAACGGTGCCACATGAATTCATTTTCCTGTCTAAAAGATCATCAAATAAAGCAGGAGAACTGAAATAATTGTAAATGCAAATTTTGTATCCCAAGTCTTCTACTCTTCGAATTAGCTGGAGAACAATGTCATGTGTCGATGTAATTTCTTCTGTCGCAAGTTGCCTTTGTTTGCCCAAATAAACTGTCATGTCATAAGTATACCCAAACAAATCGCAAAGCTTGTAAATTTTTATACCAAATCTTTTGCGTTTCTTAGGAATATACTGACAAAAAATCACTCTTCCTTTGAACAACACTATGACTTCATCAACAGCAAGATGTTCTGCTGGATTGTAAAGTTCACAAAATTTGTTGTTGAGATTGTCAAAAATTTTTCTAATTTTCCAGAGACTATCATACTCTGGGTCATATCGATTGGGAGGAGCTTCATTATATTCAAAATGTAGGAATCTCAAAATATGGAAGAAACGGTCTCGTACCATAGTGTTACGGTAGAATGGAGTGTAGTATTGCTCATCTCTTGACCAATAATCTTTGAGGATGTCCCACTGATCGTGGCCCATTTGAATAATTATTGCCAAAAAGTTATATCTCTCTTCAATTGTAATGTCGGGCGGTTGAACAGAAGGGCCTGGAGCATCTTGGCATGCCAAAAATTGGTGGAAATATCTGTTGGTTTCTTGTAACAAGATTTGGAATATTTGTTGGAAAAACAGAATGAAAATGGAAAATGGAGAGGACTGTGCATTTATATTTGGAGCAGCTGATCTGTTGATTCCACTCAGAGGACCAGTGAAGTCTAGTACCTTTGGTGAATCCCTGGGTCTTCTATCATGTGATGATGACATATTTCTTCGAGGATGAATGAACTCACTGATATCTTCTAACTCTTCATCAGATTCCTCTTCCATCAATATTTCCTCCAGTTCTTCTGCATCGAGAAGTTTGAAATATCGGGCACATTTTCGAGGTTCCATCTTGGGGGGGGGGGTTCCAGCAAAATCGAATAAGTTATGTTGATTGACAAAGACTTGCAAAGTAACTGTAATAGTATGGTACAATAGACCAGAAGTGGCAGCAGTACAAGGGACTTAGTCCCACCCCACTAGCAATAAAAAATAATAAGCGTAATAGTAATCGAAAAGGTGCCAGTCTGACACTGATACGAAAAGTCACAGTGACGAAGATGCCTTTTACTCACAAAGTAATAGTGGCTCAGTGGGTTTATACCTCTTCCGAGACACAAAATAAAAATAATATACAAAGAAATATATGACAGTCTGACACTAATATTTTAACTTATAAAGAAATATTAGACAATCCAACACTGACTTCCTAACTGATAATTCGTCGCTAAAACCAATTCTTGCATGCGTCACACTTTCTTGAAGACTCTGGAAGCATTCACATGCAAGCACAGAAGAATATTTCATCAGTTCTTGAAACAAAGCTGGGCTATATTTGGCTGACCAGGTCATAAACAGTCATATCTAAACGTAAATAGTATCAAAACCAGTACCGTGATAAACAACTTCTTTGTTCAGAGCTAAGGAATGAACCACTGACATGACCTCATGTAGGTTTGTTTTGGTTTCAAACCCAAGGTCAAACTGTCACCACTCCCAAGAGTGCATGTGTCCTGCGTCACATATATGTGCCATTCGGCCAACTCCGGCTGCTGCTTGCGTCATATATATGTGTCATTCGGACATTAAAGGTTAAGTTTCCTGAGAAAATTCTGCATCAGCCAACATTTCTTTACAAAGGACATTTTCATCTCAGTATTCATCAAGGAATGGCATGATGGAGTCTGCAGGCACACACTTGAGACATCTGTATATATAAGGGCTATTCAGAATGTAGCCTGTATTTATTTGAGGAAACTAATGTAGAAGTGGGGGACAAAGTTGCTTGCGACCATGACATTCTTTAAGACATACGTGTCCCCTGGGTAGTGCAAATGAGCAACAAACCTGGCAAAGCTTCCCAAAAGAAAAGTGCAAACTTCTTCAAGATGCAACAAAGCAAGAACTTGAGTGCTCTCTATTGGGAAGAAAGAAGCAAAATGGGTTAAATGATCCCAAATGCAGCCATTGGAAACCAACCAATGTAGAAGCGGAGGGAGAGTTCACACAAGTGAGGTAGCATCACGACTCATTACCTTGTAAAGCATCACATAACCAGTCACCTAGTGTCTGTTCTTGTCCCTGCAAAGTGAGTTACATGTCCTGTGATTTATAATCCTGCCAGCTGTGAAATTTGTTCTGTTATCCACCTTCTTCATGCTAAAAACATGAGTGCTGGGGAAATCCATTGTGAATTATGCGAGGCACTTTATGGCAAAATATGAGTGAAGGAATTATAATCCAGTGGTGTAGAATGTTCAAAGATGGGCGAACAAATGTTCATGATGAAGAGTGAAGTGGTTGGCCATCTGTAGTGAGTGATGATCTTGTTCAAAGCGTTCACCAAAAATTTTGAGGAAGATAGAGCATGATTTCAGAACTTTTGTGTCAATTTCCACAAATTTCATGCAGCATTCCCCATGAGATTATTATAGTTAAGCTAGACTATCATCACAAATTTTGCACAAGATGGGTTCCAAAAATGCTCATGAGTGCACACAAAACAGAAAAAATGACTTCAGTTTTGATTTTCTTTCTTGGATGATACCACAAAGATGAGGACGAATTTCTCAATCACATCGTACAAGTAATAGGTGATGAAACCTGGGTTTCATTTGTGAATGTTGAAACCAAAGGGCAATCAAAGCAGTGGATGCACACACATTCACTAAACAAGCCAAAAAAGTTTAAACAAACAGTGTCTGCCTGCCAGAAAGCTGATGGCAACTGTTTTCTGGTACATGAAAGGAGTGCTGATGGTGAAAGTCATGCAAAAAGTACCTCAGTAACACCTTAAGTGTACTGTAAAACACTAAAAAAATTTAGTAGTGCTCCTCCATGGCAATGTGCTTCCACGTACAGCTGCTTGCACTCGACCAGTGCTGGAGCATTTCAGTTCAGACTTGTGTGACCACCTTCCTGATCTTGCTCTGAGTGACTACTACCTGTTTACCTACCTGAAGAACTGGTTGGGATCACATCACTTCAACAATAATGAGGAGTTGATGGAAGGTGTCAAAACATGGCTAAGCTCATAGGTGGCACTCTTCTTTGACACAGGCATAAAAAACTTATTCCCTCAATTCCGGCAGTGATTATGGTGAGAAGTAGCATAATTATGTATGCATTTTTTGTATTTCATATTTTTTTCCCATTGCTTGTTTTTCTAACAGCTCACTGGAGGTCACTTTTTGAATAGCCCTTGTAGTAAGTAATTTACAACATATCATGGTGTCTTGCTCGAGAACTGATAATTCTTCAAGGTCATCAAAAAACTCCATGCTGTAAACCTGACGGTTCATGCCCACTACTACAAACATCTACCTTGAGACCCTATTCTGAACCAGATATACACAGCTCAAAATTCTATTTATTAGTAGATATGTGCAAGCCTCAAATTTTCAAGAATAAAAATAAGATGTGAGTGGCTGTAATGTTCACAGTTGACAGGTATCACAAGACAATGAATTGAAAAACTTTGCCCAAGGTTTATGAGACATAATCTAATGTCACACCAAGGAATGAAAGATTAAATGAACTTACGAGAAACTGGCTGCATGGTATCTAGAACAGAGGACCAAGAATATTGTTGAGAACACAAGGAATGTGTGTGCTGGATGCATTTAAAGGTCACTTAACACTGGATGTAAAACCTGCAATTCATGCAATGAATCATCAAGGATAGAGGGATGACCTCATAACTAAACATTTGTGTGAATAGTCCCTTTAAGGATCATCTCTAACAATTGTATTCAAACAGCTCTTTTCTTTGCTTTTCCAACTGCAGAGGTTATCCAGTAATGAACAGAAACATGAATATGAAAGATTTGAGGCTTTCACGGCGGTGACTATGAAGAAAGCAGTCTTCTGGGATTTGGCACCATGTATAAGTGGTGTTAACCGACATTTCGGAGGAACGTATCGCCTCCATCTTCAGGGTAGAAGAAAATATAAGAATTCTGCAAGCGAAGAGACTGTGAGAACCAGTAAAAGCAGACAGTCTGCTTTTATGAAAGCTGAACTGGAAAGCTATGGAAGTGGTCCTGGCCTGCCTTAAGGTTCTCACAGCAGCATCTGTCCGGGGGGATTGAAAGATGCCATGGAAATCCTGTTAGGATAGCCAGTTACAGGCCCTCCTGAATATAAACTGGGAGCACTAACCACAAAATTAAAATACTAAAATCTAACATTCTGGAAAACCATAAATCTCATGAATACACATTATTTATTACAAATAAAACTGTAATGCACACACAGCATAACAATTCTGGCATGTCTGCTCTCTTACTGACTCAAGATTTTCAAATCAGCAAGCCAACATCTGCAGAGAGGCAGACAAATGGTGACAAAATTAGTCCAACATTTCTTGAAACCATAAGACTGGGTAAATTTTTCTACATATATGTTTGAAACACTTTTTGCTCTGATATACATTTAAGACCTATAAGTTAAAATCCAGATTTAGTTCTTTGTGTAGACTGAAATTATTGTCTGATTTTAACTAAAATTGGAATGGGCTGGCAAATTTTAATAAAATCTCTTTAATATCAAATTTCATGAAAATTCATTCGTCAGTTTTCAAGGTGTTACATGTGGACAAAAACAAACATACATGAAATGCTGAAGGACACATTTTTTAACTTTTCATTGTGAACACACCAAAAAACACCTTCAGACACACATTATCAACACATTCAATTTACCTGTGAAGCTACCCTGCTGTTTCCACGCTTTTTATTGAGCATCGACACTAATTTCTCCATTCTTTGCAGATAGATTTTGTAGGAACTGAGCAATGCCTTCTCAAATCTTTGCAATTGCAGTGTTTCTTTCTTTACTGAAACACATAGAAAGACTTAACTCAGCTCTATGCCTTTCCACCAGTCAATAAAGTAACATAATTTAAATCAGGATTTGGAAAGATTTTATAATAAAATAGTGTAGAAAGCTGAACACCAGTTTGGAGTACACACAGTTTTCAAACGCATTTCTTGTGATTTTTGACACTTATTTTCTTGATGTTTATGAACGGCAAATCAAAATTTATTATTCACAGACTTCAGCAGATGAGGTAGTACAGTGAACAGTCATATACTCTACTGCTGATAAAGTTAATGAACAGAAGAAATATTACATTTCCCAGAGGCATAAAACATTTTCTCCTTGAATTCTGCTAACTTTGCAACATTAAAAGAAAATTATTCAAATAAGAGCAAAAACCTCATTTCCGCACATAATTACCCCACATTTTTGTGCAATACATTTTACATTAAATAAAGAGTGGGGCAATTACACTGCTGTTCCCTATTTTTCTTTTTTCTTCTTTAAATCGGTATATTTATTCATGCCCAAAATCATACTTTCACCTGTCACAAATGCTTGTTTCTGAAGACACATATTCCACACAGTATATGAGTACAGTTTACTAATTCTCACTCTCTTTTTCATATCCGCTATTTTAAGTAATGCTAACATAGCTGCGAAACACACGATATAAACCATTACCTGGATAATGAAAGTCCTTTTTGGAATATTCTGATAGCAATTTTACTTCTGAATAATCCTTTCACATACCTTCTTAAATGTGTTGACTGCTAAAAGGATTTTACACAATGTTTAATTTAATGGGCACATTTATTTTTATTGATGCTCATTCATTATGTCTACCACATACACGACTGGACTATGACAAGTATATATTTGCAGGATCTGAGCTTCTCACAGTCGTGGTTATGAAGAGTTCTATCTTCTAGGGTCTGCCATGTAGTCTCCTGAAAGTGATCTGACATTTTGGAGTGCATGTTACCATCTTCATGGTCAAAGAATAAACCAAGCAAGAAACCATCATGAAGCAGGTAGCAACCGGCTTGCCCAAATTTTGGATCATATAGGAAACAGGAGGGAAATATATGATAAGAAGTCAGTTCCCACTGCCACGCCCACAGGACAGAATGAATCAACAGGACTGCAAGAACTTGCCAGTTCCCACTGGCCCTCTCACACAACCAAGTGAACGTAAAGGAGACTAGACCAGGATAACCAACATGGACCTGAAAAGGGCCATATCTGTGATGGTCTAGGAAAAACTGTGGGAAAAGCAGGAAGGGTGTGGTGGGCAAAGAACTTCTCTTCCATACGCCTCAGTGTTCCTACATTTAGTCAAGATTCACATTACCTCTCTGCCAGAGATCATTTCTGCATAACCAGTGTGTGTATTTCATGTCACTGGCTATTTTTGAAATTAATTAAATATTACTAATTATGTAACCGAGTTTCTTTAACTACTTATATAAAGAAATTACTTCATTATAATTACACTAAGTCTTCCAGGGACATGTTTTCACTAAATGCAAAAAGCCATTCGCCCAGAGATTTGATAAATATGAATTTTACTGCACATGGTACAGAAAATCGTTTTTTATTTTCTCCTCATAAATCAAGAGAGGCAACAGGGCACATGCAATTACACAAGAAAATATTGTCGTAATGAGAGACAATTGAGAGACAAAACATGTGAACTGAGAGACATAAACTTGACTTTATACATCAATTTTTGCACCCCAGGCAACAAATGCATCAAAGTGGCTTGTGTATTAGCTTTCTGAGTGCAAAGCTCACTCACAGAACCACCTGCCAAGACTTCATGGGGGTAAATGCAGTTGCATGGAAAACCCAGGACATTTCCTCAAATGACCTTCAAATGAGACATCATATGAACACCTATTCTTTCTTCTAAACATCAAAATGTCACACAGGATGTCCTACTATTGACAGAAATGTATTAATTCACAAAACATCAATCTCTTCAGCTACAGCAGTTTCAACATAATTATCTTGAGCCAATCTACTCAATACATGGCATGCATCACAAGTATACTTTACATTTCACTCCTGGATTATCTTGATGTTTGATCTGGTATGATGGAACAACATCCCTGAAGACTTCCAGCAAGGACACTATAACCAGTTTACACACTGTAATTCTCAACTCTGGTGTCTCTTCATTCATCATATCTAACAGCCGTTTGAAGTTCTTGGTCTGTTCAAGAGAGAAGTACCATTACTGTAAAACACTAGATGTTGAGTGGAAGAAACCAAAGATTCAGCACAATGTTAAGTGAGGCAACAGCCTAAGTGACATCATCTGATAAAGCATTCCAGCAAGTTAACAAACTAAGTCCATGGAGCAGAGGCCTTATTTACCTTTACTGTAAGAGACATTTAATTTTCTTGAGTTAATAGACAGCCCAAGAAGTTTTTCTGTTAAATGCTCAATTATGCAGTGACTCATAATGCAATGTACTTAAGGCATAAAAACTAGATTGTTAATTATGAATAAGTTTACTTGCATATGAAGTTTTGATACAACCATCCTTTATACAAACAGCATAGTTTCTGTTCCTGTGCAAGTACTTCAAGTTTTCATGCATTTGATTAGTTCTTTTTCAAAAAAATATATGTATCAAATTTGCTTTTAATGCAAAATTTAGGTTCACCACCATGTTCACAAAAGCCTGCCATGCCTGAGATTCTGTGTAACATTTTCTAACTTTCTGGTTTTTTATAGCGAGGAGCCACTAGTCCCCCACCCAACTCCCAAGATGGAGGATCACTTGCTGTCAGGTGTCTCTGACGTATTCATTATATTCACAGTCATCTTCCATTTGGTGGTTCTTTTCCACCTGGAACATGAGGACATTCCATGTCTTAATGACAAGAGACCTACTTAACATGAATATTAATTTAATTTACATCTTATAAGACTTTTACTACTGAGTACTGAAATTTTAATATTATCAGTGTCTTCAAAACTGCACTTAAAACTGAAATTGAAGGCTATTTCAAAATAGCTTAAACCAAAATAACTTTTGTACCAAACACACTCCAGAAATGAATTTGTGTTGGACAATGTCATGTTCCGGTCTTTCTAAAATGAACAAAAGGAGTCATCTTTCTACCTTTTACGACCATAGTACATACATATGAATTCTTTATAAAACACAACACTTCCAAAATTGTTCTCACTACTAAATACTAAATCACCATCACCATCATTACAGTTATTTACTTGCATGGAGATGAAATCAGTATCTGCAAGTATCTGTCATTTACTTAAGATGCAGGCAGTCATTTTAATCCTCCATCTTGGCATGGTTCACATTAATTTTTATACAGTGGGTTCTGGTTAATAGGGGCAAATCCTGGAGAACAAAAACAAATCAAGAACATAACCAGAATTTGCTTTGCTTATTTTGGAATCCATGCCATTTAGCTGGGCCAGTAGCTGCTACATGGCACACTTGTGATTACATCATAAATGAATCACTGACTCAGTCATTATAAATGAACATTTAGATACAGTTACTCTGTCATGCACTGAGTGAGTTTACTGTGGCATGTGCAGTGATTTTTTCATTTTAAAATTCAGACCCTTAGAGAAAAGCCTAGGAGAGATGTAACACTGACAAAATTGCATTATTTTATTAAATAAAAACAAACTGCCTAACACCAGTCATCAAAGCTGGCAGAAATAAGTGGACTGCTGAAAGCTACAATTGCATGTGTTGTATGGCAGCAACAGAGACTGCAAAATGAATGGACATTATGCCACAGACAAATGGGTAACTTCCCAAAAATGGAAGTGTGAAGGTAAGGATCCAGATGTTGAAGAGTGCCTCAATCAATGGTTCTCTATTGTAACTGGAAGAGGTGTTCTGTGTCAGTGGTCCAATGTTGAAAAGCAAGTCGGAGTGAGCTAAAAACCTGGGTCATAATGATTTCAAAGTTAGTTATTTTAATGGATATGCAGGTTTGGGATAAAATTCAAGAAGGCACACAGTGATGACATTGCTGAACAATGGAAATCCACCAATGCTGATGAAACAAATTTATTTTACGATGCCACGCTTGATGCTTCCCTACGCTACAAACATACAATTCTATCTGGTTCTAAGAAAGCAATGGATTATGTAACTGCGTTCTGATTTTCAAACATGTTAGGAACTGATAAATGGAAGCCACTAGTTATTGGATGTTATTGGTGTTTTAAGGGGATTAATAAGGACATCTAGTTTTAAATGGCTGGTTAATAATGAGTTGGGGCATGGAATTACAATGGAAATTGAGGAAAATTTTACAGCTTCTTGACATATGTGCAACACACCTTAATTTAAATTCTTTGAAAAATATGGAACTAGAATGTGTCTCTCAGCACCACATCCCTGGTACAGCCAATGGACATGGGAATCATACGAAATATGATGACCTTTTATCATGGAAATTGGTAAATTACATCCTTAAGGCAATGCAAGAAAATCTACTGACACCACCTTTAGCAGCTAAGGTCAGTGCAAGGACTGATCTTTCAAAAGCAGTACACTTGGTCATCGACTTATGACCACAAAAAATGAAAAATAAAAGCTGATTAAAATGTAGAAGTTTTTAAAAATAAATTATAAAGATGATAAAAAGATTAGAAAGGTTAAAAAATACTGTTATTTTATTAACATATACGGCCGACATACAAGCAGATCGACTTACAACCTGTCAGTCAACGAGAAGTCGGTCGTAAGTCGACGACCAAGTGTACAGTTAATCTCTGATAATTGGCAAAGAGTAAGCACCAAGACCATTCAGAACTGTTTTGCTCACTGGTTTTAAACATTCAGACTTGCTGATAGTGAAAAATGATGTCATACTGGAAATGTGCTACATCTGAAATTATGAAGATTTTTTTATGCATCAACAGTAATCTTCAACGTTACAATGAAAATGAAGATTGTGAGGAAGCAACTGTTGAATAAACTGAAGCAAAACACCAGAAGACATCAGAAGATCAGGAAACTGAGGATGATGACATAATCAAGTGTCAAGAAGTGACTAACCAGGATGATAGGAAATTTATTGCTGGAATATGACTTTATTTCATGCAAGAAGGGAATGAAGGCAGTCCTGTATCTGCACTATACATAAACCTGTGCTGATGTCAAGTTGTAGTCAATCAAGAGAACAGAGCAGAGTGCACTCAATCAATTCCTCAATTACTAACTGTTAAGAAACATTTGCATGTTTAATACATGAATGAATAAAATTTGTTTTTAGAATAAATACACTCAACTCTCAATTATCCGGGATAATGGTGGGGATAGAAATCACGATTAATCAAAAACCCAGTTAAGACAAAGTTTATTAAAAGTAGTACTGTAATACTGTACCTTCATAATACTATAGGCCTACCTGCATTTAAATTTATTCAACCTCATTTTTATGTCATCTCACTGCCTGTTTAATACTTTTTTACATTACACTGAAGTATGAATTAGTTATTTCAATCACAGTGTTCAACAACATCCAGCATTTTTTACGAATACAGTCAACTCTCGATTATCCGGGCTAATGGTGGGGATGGAAGTCACGGTTAATCGAAAACCCGGTTAAGCCAAATTTTATTATACGGGCTGGACGACTGTGAAGGGTCGGAGTTCGAGTCCCGGTAGGGTCAAGAATTTTAACTTCTCCAAATCGTCCAGACCGGCTCTGGGGTCCATCCAACCTCCTATCCAATGGGTACCGGGGGCTCTTTCCCCGGGGGTAAAGCGGCCGGGGCGTGAAGCTGACCACTCACCTCCAACTAGTGCCGAGGTCAAGAAAATTTGGATCTATACATCCACTCCCCCACACGCCTTAATGGCGTAGGGCTTAATTCGTTGAGCAGAGGAACAACTTTACCTTTTACCTTTTAATACCTTCATAATACTATAGACCTACCTGTATTTAAATTTATTCATCCTCATTTCTATGTCATCTCATGGCCTATTTAATACTTTCTTTACATTACACTCAGTATGAATTAGTTATTTCAATCACTGTTCAACAACATCCAGCACTTTTTACGGTCACACTTAACACTTAAAATAATTTAATACTGTCTTTTGCTTTTTCGCGGCATTTTCCTTTTTACGGATATCCGTACGAAGCCTACGTAATATTAGCTTGTCACTTAATAAACTGTCCTCTTCACTCTCAAGATAGTCTAGTAAGGATTCCAAATGATTAAGCGCAGCACCATGTGATACTTTCTTACTGGCAACACTGTCCACCTCTTCCTCATTCTCACTTTCTTCCCGCTCTTCTGGCTGCACCCCCATTGAAGTTACGATTTCGTCACTGCTTAACATTTCGAAGCCCGGTTCACACGAGTCACAGTTAAACCACTCTCTTATATTTTCCTCGTTGACTTCTTCACCACCATGAACTTGGTTAGCCACTTTTGTCAATTTTATGGCTATCTCATTTTCACTGAATCCAGTGAATCCATGGATTTCGTCATCTTCATTAGTGATGAAAGGCATCAGTTTCTTCCATGAATTTTTCAATACAGATGGCTTTACTGTATCCCACGCTGTTGAAATCTCGTATATGGCATCTAATACTGAAAAGGACTTCCAGAAACACGTCAGATCATTGCCTTCATCGATGTACTTTTGTAGCAAATTTGATCTGTAGATTCTCTTCATACTTGAGATAACTCCTTGATCCATTGGTTGGATAAGTGCGGTAACATTAGCGGGAAAATATTTCACAAAAATATTTCCATCATCTGACCTCAGGAGACTTTCGTTAGGATGTGAGGGCGCATTGTCAATGAGGAGCACAGCTTTCTCAGGTAGGCCTTGGGATTTTAGATGGTCACGAACTTGAGGCACGAATTTAAAATCAAACCATTCTTTAAATATCGCTCTATTCATCCAAGCTACTTTCTGGTTAAAATAATGGATAGGCAGACTTGAAGCTACTGTTCCTTTAAAAGAGCGTGGTCTTTTCGCTTTGCCGATAACTACTGGTATTAGTTTGTGTGTTCCTGATGCATTAGAACAGCACAAGACTGTCAATCTCTCCTTACTGGATTTGTGACCTGGAGCCTGTCTTTCATTTTGAAATGCCAATGTTCTGGTTGGCAAGCATTTCCAATAAAGACCCGTTTCATCGGCATTATAGATTTGTTCTGGCAGCAGATTTTCACTTTTCACAAAACTATCA